CAGCTCTTGGCTTTGAGTGGTTGAGGTCTCTCGACGTTGCGCATCTCGGTCTGGGCCACCTCTTTCCATATCCTGGATCTGGACATGTTCAGGGGTGTGTAATCGTCATACTTCCTTCTTGGAGATCGATCGTCCGACCTCTTATCGTGAGAGTTCTTCCCTTTTTTGGATCCTTTCTGGTCCCGGTCTTTGTTATTTTTCTTACTCGGGCTCCGACGTGTCGGACTTCTTCCTCGAGACTCGACGTAGACCTTTTGCATATCTTCCACATCAATGTATTTATCCGACCTTCGTCGAAACTCCTCCAGATCATTCACCAGGTGCTTATAGATTGATCTCGCAAGTGGAGAGTCACATCTAATCCCGAGATGATTAAGTGGAGGTGCACCGCTTCAGTTAAACCTCGGACCTTGAGGGCGGCATCCTTGAACCGGTCGAGGTACTTCCTCAGCGATTCATTCTCTGTCTGCCGAATTCTTCCCAGAGCGTAGGCCGGCATTGGATGCACCTTGCTTCTTGCAAAGTTCAGTCGAAAGGTCCGGGCTAGGTCCTCAAACGAGTCGATTGAGTTCCTGGGGAGCTTGGTTATCCAGGTCATCGCCTGACCAGTCAATGTTGTCGCAAAGATTCTGGCCTTAATAGGTCTAGTGATCCCGTTGAACAACATCTCGGTCTTGAAAGCCGCTAAATGGGTTTCTGGGTCCTGGCTTTCGTCATACGGAGGTATCCTGGTGCTCTTGAATCTCGGAGGTATAACCAGGTTCATGAGCCTCCTCATCATCTAGGTAGTTCTCGTCATGGTTTTCGTTCGGGCCTCCACCATTCCGGTCGTTGCCGAAGTTAGGGTTTTGCACATTCTGTGTGTGTCCTTCAATTGTGGCCGCGTTCTGACATCGCGGGCCACCATCAACAGCACGACCATTTCTTCGAGGTTGGCCTTCAGCATTTTGATGTCGGAGGTCTTCAGCATTCTGATGTTGGACGCCTTCAGCATTCTGATGTTGGACACCTTCAGTATTCTGATGTTGGGCGCCTTCAGCATTCTGATGCTGAGATCCGTCGTTTGCGACCTGACCGGTTCCTCTGGGTTTGCCTTCCACGTTGTGATTTCTCAGTTCGGCCTAGAATGTCGCCATTCTTTGGGCATCCAGTCGCTGTTGAGTCAGGAATCTATTCTCCATCTCTTGCAGTCTTTGAAGGATTGCATTCATGGCCAACGTGATCACGTCTCGCGGTGGCTCACTGTGTGGAGGTGGGTGACTGAGGTCGCTATCGTATTGAGTTGGGTTCTGGGGGTTGGTCCCTAAGTGCCGACCTCGCCGACCTGTACCTCTACCAGCACCGGGTTCGCGTCCAATTGGAGCTGTCCCAATGCAGATTGGTGTTGAGGCATGCCATAAGGCTGAGGCTGAGATTGATGCGGCGGCATTTGGGCGGTGATAGACGTCGAACGGGTGTTCGTCATCGTGGAATGGGGGTTGAAATTTATCGTTTCCCACATACAGCGCCAATGTTAAGTCCTGGATAGATCGTATTGCTATGTCGTAGGGTATGCGCTCAGAGATAGTGTATATCAAGTGTATACTAGGCTTATAGCCGAGGTCCCAATCATTGCGCACAAGCAATAGGCTTATAGCCAAGGGGTGGGTGTGTGCACAGTGTGGGCGGTATTCGTAAGTAGGTTAAGTGTGTTTACCTGGGGTCTTTAAGCTCTTATTTATAGGATTACCTTCCTAGGATTGGGCCTTTTGAGCTCCCCCAATTGCAATAGTATTCAACTCCCTTTCTGTTGGGATATGATCCTCCTCTTGTGCCCTTTGGCTGTTTAGAGTTGTTGAGATGTTTGTGACTCTATATGTGATTGGATATTCTAGTAGGTAGTTGGGATATGATATTCATATCCATAACAGTTGTCATGCACACCCTTTAAGTACTCTTTTATTATGGGGTTGTTCTTGAAAATATTGATAACTTTAATGCTATGTCTGAGTTGGAAAAATGTACCCATGATCTGCTTTTGGGAATCCAATTATGTATGAAAATTGTGTACGGGATAAATGTAAATAGATGTATGCAGATCTATATGTAGATGATTATTGCACATCTTGGCTAGTGGGAATGGTGCAAAGAGTGATGAAATGCAAGCTCAATGAATTGGAGAGTGGTTAAAGAAGTTGAATTATTTAATGAATTATGTATTTTGCATTGTTTCAAACGTGTATGGACTGTTATGATCGGGAATTCTACACTAAAATTGAGTAGGTTTAAATGTGATGTGCAAAGCAATGTTATAAGACCCGGCCCGGTCATTGAACCAGTCGGGGTATTGGGTTATTGGGTCACTGGTTCAACCGGTGGGTCACCGGTTGAACCGCATGACTCAGATTAGTACATCGAAACTTATATTTTATACATAAAAATATTCAAATACATATAAAAAATTATTATGCGGTTATGCAAATATATATAATTTTTGTAAGTATAAAAAAAATCATATATAGTAATTATATTGTAAAAGAAATAAATAAATAAAAAAGAATAATTTTTTACCAAAACTGGTGAGACATCAACAGTACACAAGCCACTAGACATTTATCTTTTCACTAGCCACACAACCTTTTGAAAATTTCATTTTACCAGAAAGAATTAATGGGAAGCACAAAATCTCAAATTTTCACTTTTTCACAAAACCTCCCTTGAACCGTGTTGAGTTTTTTCCTTTTGCTATGTATTAACTCAAATCCTCTCTATCCAAAATCCTCACCAAAACTCCCGAAGCTTGCTTCTGATACATGTAAGCTTATTCTTCTGCTACTGCCTTGTAATATATTGCTCGCCTAATAACTCAGCAAGATCTGCGTTTTTTGTTCTTATATAGATGTACCAATAAGTGTTTATTGTAAACTCATGGATCATAATCTTGTCCCTACAACAAGAACGTTTAGACTCGATGTTTCTTTGAAGTGCTTCTATGACATTGCAAATGGTATGCTTCAATAAATTCTCGTCTGTCTCTGGTTTGGATAATATCCCAGCTTTCCATATTTGTTCTGTTCGGAGAACCTTAACCATGGTTGTTTTGTAATTCTCTGTGGCAAGGTACTTGAGGTAGTTAATGGCGTATCTTATGAGTTTTGGAACGGAACCATCTTGTAGGGGTGGAAGGCCATCGAAATTCTCTTCTATTTGCAAACCAAAATCCCAAAAAACTTTGCTTGAAGCATTGATGATGAGATTTCCAAGCTCTCTGAACCGCGTGCAGATATCAACTCCAGCTTCGCCATGAAAGATTTCAAAGATCTCAAGTTTGAGTTTCTCTAAGGGTTCGAAAATATCCAATAACTTGAATAGCATCTAAACATGACAATAAATATCAAAAGAAAAACTTCTGAAGTTTAGAGGTACCACATCGACCATAATATAAATTGAAAAACACTTTATAAATAATACGAAAGCTATTACTGCCGTCAAGTTTGGCCGCGCGACTTAATGGTTCGAGGCTGCCCGGGTTGCTGCTAACTCGCTGGTTCACAGTTTTCTTTATACTCGGCCGGTCGAACCCAAGTGACACCGGTTCATCAACATGACTGATCTGATAACAAACACGAACCGGCTTGGGGACCGGTTCACCGGTTTCCGGGTTGAACCGGCCGGTCCGAGCCGATTTTAATAACACTGGTGCAAAGCATTAGAGGCGTTACCAAGAGGGCTGAGTCATGTTGTAACATTAACGTCTTGAAGTGTATATATTTGAGAGAAATCCGGGTATGTCGTTTTAGGTATCCCAATAAATTCGCGCAATCATATGGAAATCTGCACATATTTGAATATGCTTCCTTGTATATTCGGATATTCCACGAGAATCAGGAACATTAAATACCCATTTCATGCGTTATTTTTTTAGTTTTTTTAAGGAGAAATTTAGTCAAATATATTTTAATAAAAATCTTTATTATAATGAATAAAAAAAGCTAAAAACTCTTGAAGGAATTTTCTTTTAACATGTACATCAACTTTTTAGAAAATGCTAAAATTTATTTTATCAAATAACTTTTTTAGTCTGAACTTTAAAATAAATTTGAAGTTAAATTTTTTTACATGATTATTAAATAATTTTTAGCTTTGTTTTTTAAGTTCTTATTTTTAACTGTAATTTCTAACTTAAAAAAAGACACGTCAAATAGACCAAAGACAAATATGCAAATACATATAAAATACTCATTTGTGATCCAGATTTATTTCTTTACCAATAATTTAGCCATAATATTCTCTGTATGGTTAGAGCTACGCATCGTTTAAATGAAACTTTAACTTCGTAGTAGTTTTGTCTTTGAGAAGTTGAATTGAAAAAAAAAAAATAGAATATTCAACCTATTTTTATTTTTTTTATGCTTACTTTATTTATTCATTTCCATATCATCAAATTAGAATTTCAAATAAATTTTAATTTTTCTTTATTCTCTTGATATTCTGATATAATGATATTAGATAATAGAGATGAATAGATAAAATAGACATGTAAAGAGGTAGACATAGTATTTTATCCTAAAAAAATAGGAAAAAATGTTTCTGCAGTTAATGCAGATAAGTTATCTGCATTTATTCCCAAAACGACGCCGTTTTGATATTGAAATCTTAAAAAATTATAAATATAAAGACTATTATAACCCTGAAATAAATTAAAATTATAAATACATCATAATTTTCGCTCCAAAACGACGTCATATTGGGCTTACTGCAGATAACTTATCTGTAGTAACTACAGAAAAAACGAACCCAAAAAAATATTGTACAGAATACAAAACACATGTAGTCTTATAGTCTTGTATGACTGAAAAATATTATTAAAATAAATAAGACAGAAGAAACCACCGATAAGATAATTGATTTATGCGAGTATTGGGCCAAATCAAATGGACCTAGGCCCAAGAGTCTAGCCCACAGGATCAATGTTTAACCTCCTCCTTCGTCTGAAACAAAAAACTGAACAGTGATGTTTGTGTTGAACCACAATGGAGAAGCCATCGTCATCGAACACGAAGGGAAAAGCTTCAAACGATGGGAACATGAGCATAAGTGTGCTGAACGAGGACCTTCTTCAGAAAATTCTGGCTAAACTTCCTGCTCTATCGTTCGCTTCAGCAGCTTGCGTTAACAAATCATGGAATTCTCTCTGCAATCGCATCCTTTCTCGTCCCAAACTCTCTTCTGCGCTTTCTCTCAATCCTTCACTCCCAGTAAGTCCCCTTCCTCATCTCACAAAATTCACTCAATTGGGTATGCAAAAAAAATGAAGCTTCATGCTTCATGCTTCTGACTTTGTTTTTGGATTTTCAAAATCTCAAATTTACCATCATTTATGCAAAATTGTTTTATTTTTTATGTTACTGTTTGGTTTAACGTTGTACACGAACAGGATGCTGTGAACGAGGTTCTTCATAAGGTTCTGTCCGAGCCCATTCGACCTTGTTTTGCTATTGTCAATGTTGGAGATGGATTCGGATCGTCCAAGACTATGTTGCTTGTACGAAATTAACACCTCTATTTTTTATTTTTTTTATTTTAATACAAGGATTGTTTTTATTATGCAATTGACTTAATGCCTGTGGCACAGATTAGACAGAAATTGGGGTTCAATATTCCAGTTATTGTTGCTGTGGCAAATGGTATCATGGGAAGGGATGCTCTTACTGATGAATTTAAAGAGGTTGAATATTGATATTTGTTTCATTTTTTGTGTTATTGATTTGGTAAAATCGAGTGAACCCAGGATAATGTATGTAGGTCAAATGGGGTGCCCTTTTTGGTGGCTTTGATGATGAAGAATATGCAAGAAATATTAATGAAGGCATAGTTTTGACCATTGGCTACTTGCCAGGATTAAAAGTTGAAGCTATACCATTACTACGGCCGCAAAAGGTAATAAATTGTCATTTTAAGAATTTGGACTTTGCAGTCTCTGAAAATGAACATGTAATAGATAAACATTTTTGAAATTTCTTTCATATACAAGCGAAGGTAGTCTAATGGGAAAGGGACCCTTAAGCTGCTAAGGGTTTTTAATAATACCTTGAGTCAAGAAGAGGCAGCTTACTGCAGGAAGGTGTTAAGAATAGAAAAAGAAGATGGCTTGGTATTTTGGGTATATTATAGTCTTTCACTACACTCATACAATCTATGTTAAATAATTGAATTCAGATAAGGTCATGCTTTATCCTTTTATGATCATCAAATTTATTAATTAAAATTATTTGTGACACCAGACACCTCAAGCACCATGTATTGACAATTTTGTAATGGATATCAAGGGATATTCAGCCTCTGTCTCCGGTCGTCCATTCCCTGTTGGGATTATATTGTTTGGAGTAAGTTAACAGTTGCACACATTTTTCAATATTGATTTTATTTTATTAAATTTTATTTTTCATTATTTGTATCATTCATTGTTCTCTTTCTAACACTCGGATTTGGCTGCACAGGAAGCAAACAGTGACATGAAACTGGTTCTGGAGAAGTTGGGTGAGTGTTACTTGTATACATTTTATTTTTTATACCTATTGTTATTGTGTTTCTTTATTCTACTTTTGCTTCATATTCTTATTTACTCTTTACTTTGTATGGAAAAAAAATGAGGAAATTTGGTGTTTTGCTCGATAGAATATGAGGTTTATCTCCTCTTTTTAATACATCAACATCAACAACACCTTTAACACAAGCTAATTGGGGTCAATGGTAGATGAACTCAATGATAAATAAGAGGAGGTTAAAAAAATAAAAAATAAAAAAATAAAATTGGGAAAGGTGGAAATAAGATAAAAGACAAGAAGGGGAAAAGAAAGAAAGGGGGGTTGAAGAGGAAAAGGACTAAAAGGGGACTATCTGGAACATAGAAATAACAATCCTCTTTTTATTAATGTGTGATAAAAGAGTAAGGAAGGAAATGATTGTTTGAGTTTATATATACAGTGTTTTATTAATTTTAAGATATGATTGACTGCTTTCCCTAAATATTTTGTCACAAAATGTCTGTGGGATACATAATGGCAATTCAATACTTGAATTTAGATAGGGCGCCTGTGTATTTTGTGTTAGTTCTGTAATTGAAAACATGACTTCAATTTACACCCTTCTGCCACAGGCTTGTGCTTGAATTTTTTATTTATAATTTTTTCCGTGATGTCTTGTTTAATTTCAGATTATGCCATGCCTATGGACACAGTCGTTGTAGGTGATGAGAGAGGCTCCTTTGTATACACAAGTGGAAATGATTCTACAAACATTTGTGGTAGAAAACGGTCCACAGAAGCTGTTGCCCTTGTATTTGCTCAGGACAGAAACAGGTCTTCTGGTACTTCTCGTTATCTTTTGGGTAGCTCTTGGCTCTTTCCATCTGATGCACCATATAATTCATACAACTGCTACAGTGCATGCCATCGTATTTTACTATCAGGGGATGAGGTTTTTGTATTCCTTGAAGGATTTCAGGGTTGACAACTCCTGTTTTCTTAGTCATAAATATCTAATTTTTTGCGGGAGAAAAGTGTGTTAATCAATCCCCTATTGGGATCTAGGTGAGAAAGTGGGTTGTGGTGGGATCAATCTCCGTCTTCAAACACCAACAGGCAGCCCCTTAGTTACTGGGGAAGGCACTATGTTACACAGGTTATGGATATGAGTATCCGATACAATATGATATGGAAATACGATAATTTTTTTTATACAATTCAGATACAGGTATGGCAATATATATTAAGTGAGATATTTATATTTATTTATGTTAAAAAATAAAATTTCTCCACTTTTGATCATCTCTATCCAAGTCCCATGCGTGCTCCTTCTCCCTTGTTCATTTGGTGAGGATAAAAGTCTGCAAGATTGCAACTGTGAGAATATGCTTTGATAGAGGTAATTGGTGGGTATTCACAAATAAAAAATAAAAAAATAATGTTGGATACGGATTCGTCACTGATTTTGGGTATATGTGAACCATAGGGGAAGTGTCCCTGGTAAAGCTACCAGTCTACAGCCCCTATTGTTATTTCTTTATCATGCTTCCTACTCTTCTCTGTGCTGCCTTTATATTTGTGCACATTTTGAATAATAGAATCTGTCTGTATATGATTTTACTTCTGTGATTGTTTCGAGTGTTACAAGGAATGATATTAAGCTTACTAGTCTTTTATTTTATTTTGTTTTTGAAATTCTTAAATGTTACTCATCTTTGTTATGGATTGATTTTGCTACAGGAAATATTCAATTTCATGTTGCATTGTCAAATGGTGTATCAGCTGTGGGTGTTAGATATAAGACTGCTTCAGTTATATCAAAAAACACTGATAGTTCGACATGGTTAACTGCCAGGAGAGAAGGGCAACATGAAGTTCTTGACGGTCAGAGTATTCTACTTGATATTAACGATTTGGTGCGCAACTATTTGCATATTTTTGGAGAAAACTACAAGTTCCTCTCGTTAGGGGGAAATTAATGTTAAAAACCACTAAGAAGGAATATTTAATCTTAAGGGATCTAAATAGTTTAAATTATTAAGGACTTATCAAAATTTCTTTTAGAGAGATTTCACCTAGACAAAAATACCCTTATGAAGAAATTTGTGAGTGGGTATTGCAAGTCAATGAGTGGTTATTTGTGCTCACTAAGTGGTTAATAATTACAAATGAAATTATATCTTAGGTATCTATTTGGTTAGGCTTATTTTCAGCTTCTCTTGAGGAGAAGCCCTGTCAAACACTATGTTATAGAAGCTCTTAAAAAATAGTTTTTTTTTTGGAAGAAAAATCATGTAAAGAGCTTCTCATGAGAAGTTACTTGGAGGAGCTTCTGGCTTCTTCCAAACTCCTCTCCTTTTTAGCAAATGAGAATCGTTTATTGTTGAGTGGTTATTTGTTCTTAATAAGTGGCTACAACTATAAATAGTTTTTTTGGGGTAAAAAAATACATAAAGTTATGAAGTTTGTGAATGCTATTACTTGCTATTCAGTGGTTATAACTTTCATTAAGGGTATTTTTGTTCATTAAGTAATATATAATGGTCCTTCTCTAAATAAATTTTATGGGGTCTTAATACTTAAACTTTTTTTTGTTCCTTGAATTTAAATATTCCATTTTAGTGTTCCTTAATACTAATTTTTTCCTTTCATTTATTAGAAACCATATTACAATGCTTTCATTCATTATTTTTCCCTCCCCTATCCCCCATTTTGTAAATACTCGATAAGACTAATGCAATAAGGGGCTTAAAAATTTACTGAAATTTCAGTTTAAAAAAGAGAGAAAGAAATAATTAAAGCAAGAAAATGAATTGATATAGACTGCTTTTCTGTAATGGATTTGCAACTGATCTTTTCTTTTGTTATGGCACTAAGGTCTATACGGTCAATTAAGGAATATTATCCTCTTGTGAAGTATGATAATGTATTTGGAACTCTCCATGCCAATACTATTACTGTATCTTATTTCTTGTTGGTTTGTTATGAAGACATTCTTTAGTTAGCAAGTTTAGAGCAAAATGAAGTCCCATTACTAATTCAAATTGAAACAAGTGGAAACGAACATTATATTGTGGTCTATCTCAAAATCATTTTGTTTTCTCCAGCTTCTATGGGGGTGATAATGGGATAGTTAATCTTTATTTTGAAAATTGTTTGGAGGTTATTGAATATAAAAACCTCATTATGTGAAAAGCAAATAGCCTAGTTGAGCACCTAAATATGGCCAGGCTGTTGTCTGGCTGGTTTTACTTTTCTCTATCATAAGCATTTTTAATTTTTTTTTTGAAGCAATAACAATCGGTATCCCTGTTAATACCAATCATAATGGATAATGGAAAATGTCACGACACACTTGGGTATTAAATTTGTTAAGCTTATTTTTGTGGAAAAGACAAAAATAATATAAGCTAATGCCATCCGTTATTTTTATTTGGTAGTAAGGCTTCATATCAATTAGAAGTTTTGTAAAACTAATTTGATATAAATTTTTTGCTTATGGTTATTTTTTTCCAGTTCTTTGTATTTATGGTTTTTATTTTCTTAACTTCAAAAAATGTGGCAGCTGGAAAATCATATTGAATCTCCTGATTTGTACATTGGGGTAATTAAACATAGGAAATACTCCATTGGAGCGGAGAAGCCGATGCCAAGAACTTGTATTGCATATCATGGAGTTGTGGGGTATGACATAAAACTCTTCTCTTTTGTGGGTCTTCTACTACCTCATCGGTATTAATTTTTTGGATTCATCTGAAGAATAATCCTTTTTTAAAAAAAAGGCTGAATTGATAGAATATATTTTGCTGCAACTACCTGATAGAGTGCTGTAGCGTTTAATCCCAGTATTTCATCCACTTTGCTATTTTCAACAGCTGTTGTTAATTTTGGCTTAGCTGGCTTAGGTAATAGATGATTAATTACAGTTGTTATTGGCATGCTATTATAATGTAAGCAGATCAATCAACTAAAAGTGTTGTTGTCTAAATTTACATATTTGGTGAATTATTGAATTTTAATGTTAGTCTTAAAATTTACTTTTCCCTTTGGAGGAATCATATGCTATGTTGATAAACAATGGCAGGGTTGGCAAAGTGTATAATTATATCATATTGTACTTCAGATTCTTGGACGTTTTGAGTGTTTGGAACTATAAGAAATCTTCTAATCTGTTAATTAATTTTTTGGTATATGTACAATTTTAATTGTTTACTCTGAAGTCGAATTCAATAAAATAAAAAATGCATGTCAGCTTGACCTTCCAGTTTCTTTTTATACTATCTTATGTGACATATGGAATATGTACAGGATGAAATATAGACACACAAAAGAGTTCTGAAGATAATTGAAATTATGAGCTAACTTTGTTATAGGAATAGGATATTGTGCCCACCTTTTTTTTATGCCTACCTTACTTATCACTCTCCAACATTATTAGATCAGAATCCCAATAGAAGAAAGAAATGATAAAGGTTAGTTGAGATTCTGATCTAATGATATTGAAAAGTAGTAGGTAAGGTAGACATGGAAAAAGATAGTTAGAATAACCTATCCTTTTGTTATAGTGTTTTTATATCATTTAATTATTCATTTAAAATTACTTATTGAGAAAAATGGGGCACTAAAAGAAAAGATGCTTGAACTGACATTTGCAATGAAATTGGTATTAGCTCGGAAGCTAGACTTTGTGATAGATTTGAAGTTTTATATTGGTTTCTTTTCTTTCTGCTTATATATGTAGGCCCCATTAGATAATCGTTTTTTTTTTTACCCTTCTTTCTTGTAAATTTATTGGTCAACTTGCAATACTTGGGCTTTAAAAACAGACCAGAGCCTCTGGTGAATTGTCACCATTATCGCCATGTGACTTAGGACCATGTGATTTTTTTTATTTTTTATTTTTTTTATGAGACCCCCTATTTTCCTATCATTCCCCAGTTTATGAACTTCCTATTGCAAACAACCTTGTTCTTAATATAAAAGACTAAGTTTTCATGTTTTGAACAGAGGTGATGAAGAGTATCTATATGTTGATGGAATTGGCATCAAAACAGCAGATATCTTTCAGTTCTACCATTCAGATCCTAATACTGCGTTAGCTTCAATAACTGAGGTCAATGATGCCCTCAAGAATATTAAGCTTGGAAGAAATTCCAAGAGTTTCAAGGGTGATGGAGACAAAGATATCAATGTTTTTGGGGGTCTTATTTTTGCATGTTATGGCCGTGGTGAATCATTCTTTGGGCGTCACAACGTTGATAGCTCCCCTTTCTTGGAGAATTTTCCAGGAGTGCCATTGGCTGGAATATTTTGTGGTGGAGAAATGGTGCGTCCTTGTACCACTTTGATTGGTCAATGTCATGAAGCAAGCCCCGTCAGTTGCTGCCTGCATGTTTATAGCAGTGTCTATTTAGTGATGTCATATATTCCTCCCTCTCTGGAATATTAGATGCTGCTGATATTTCATTTTCAATATATATACATTGTTAATTTGAGGAGGATGCTGTTTTGCCCTCTGCAATCGACACATATCTGACTATCTTATGGTGTGTCAGATAATGATATTGTATTAAATGGCTATGGAGTTTATGCCATGCTATTTGCTGTTATTTCTTCGCTTTAACAATCTCATTATGAAACTGACTTCACATGTTGGGAACCTTCTTTTTCGGGTGTATCAAAACTATTGGATCAATCAAAGTCAATTTCTTATGACGATTTATGACGCATATAAGAATTGAAGGGGCTCTATCGATGAATTTTCCTTTTGCAATGAATATAATTGAATCTGTGTCCAGCTGATATGTTTTTCTGTTGAGGGAACTACAAATGGCATATCACTTTTTTATAAAAAGTGTTAAACTTTAATTGAATATAAATGAATAGCAATCCTCTTCTGCTTATTGAAACTATGATAGAACTAGAGGAATGCTTGATTGGTCGCATATTATCTATATAAGCTTTAAAATGAAATTATATATACTACTTTCTTGAAAAGTGCCACAACCGTCTTCATACATTACTTCATTTCCCACACTTGAACAAGAAACAGGGAAAAATAAGGATTAAGAAAAAAGGGACAAATGCAGATACATTTGTCACAACTTTCTTGGAGATCTTTTGCATACCCGCAGTACTCTAGTTATTAGCTTTCAAAGTTCAATCTTGAGCAATCCTGCAACACAATCCAGAGTACTAAGACATCCAAACAAGTTACAAAAACGAAGTAACTGAAACCAAGGAAAAATGTCTAGAATTTCAGTACTATCAACTATGATAATGATTTATGTACCCCCTAACTCCAGTAATTTTAAATGATTAGCTGACCTTAGAAATCCATTTCATTCACTTACTTCCAATGTTCTGGAACTCGAACTGTGATCTTCCAATTCATGCAGCTTGAATTATACACATATAGAATCAAATGTCAAACATGAATGTGCAGTGCACACAATAATGTTAAAGATGAAATAAAGCTGAATTAATCAGTTCAACAAATAATAAAACAACATCTACTCCTGTTACAGGAGGCTCACTTTTTTCTGAAGATGAGTGTTATCCTCTTTTAGGACTCTAATCTGCATCAAGACAAAGCAATAATTAGTTTTTCTTCATGCATATATTATAACATAAATCTGCGTGAAGTTAATCCTAAACTTAGTGAATGTATATAGCAAATTCAAGTTATAAACGGTGGTTAATAATGTGCCTTCTGCATTCACACTTTTATCAGTGGTTAAAGTCCGTAACAGTTTTACTTATAATCTTACCCTTTTATTAAGCATTTTCTTATTCTCAGCAATGACGTGTCTCTGTCCAGGAAAAACAAAAATAATTCAAGTTAGACAAATATGCACTAAGTTTCAATATACAGATAGGTCCATCTGATGTGATCTTGTCTTAAATGATAAATTGGCTTTCCATTTTCAATTCATTATTTATGCAAATGTGAAACAGGACAGTATAGCTTGGAGAACATTACTCATATGCTTAACTATATTTTCTAAATTTCATCTAATTATGCAAAAGCAAGCTTACGTGTCATATACATATTTACCATTTTAGAGTTGATGCGTTGAATTCCAGTACTCAATTGTCGTTCTAGTTGATTCAATTCTTTCAAGCCTAGTGCTGACAGATCCTCTCCTGCTAAATGCCTAAGAAAAAAACAGTGATGCAAGGGTTATATAAGTGTGTGTCCTTTTAAAGGACACAAGTTATGTCATTTTAGTTTTTAACACTATGTATTATAGGTAGTATATAGTTATAGAGAAAGTATATTTACAACATATTTTCGTTTACAACGTCTTATAATCACATCTTAACCATTGATTTCCGCCAATCTAACGGTTATAATTTATTGGGAATTAGTAATTAATTAATAATTGTTACCCAATAAATTATAATCGTCAGATTGACAGAAATCAACGATTAAGATGTGATTGTAAGATGTTGTAAACAAAAATAAGTTGTAGGTATAACTTTCCTCATAGTTATAATATGAAAAGTTATTTATTTTTTCTCTCCACATCAGTTGAAGTGACTGAGGTGAGAGGAAAAAAATTCATATTAACACTATATATTACTCGTAGTACATAGTGTTAAAAATTAAAAATACACAAGATTGTGTCGTTTAGAAGGACAAAGTTTTTTTTTCATATATATATATATATATCAAAGACGTACTTCAGTCTTGCTTCCATGTTGCCTACCGATCTCCTTAGCTCATCAATTTCAGTCCTCCAAGCCTTTCAACACCAAAAGACACTCAGCAATTAATAGAAGTCAAATTCAAACACATAAAGGTGAAATTCAAAGGTTCAAGCAAGCAAATCATTTATGTACTTGAATCAATTGCAGTACTCAGATCAGCTAGCAATAATAAATATGTCTATACGAGGAAAAAACCCATCAAAGACTTGAATCAATTCATAAGCATATATTTATTAGATATTTTTTTTTAGGGTATACCCAGCCTAATTACCTCTTTGAGGCGAGTCAGCCACCGGATATCCCTACAAGTTTTAACTCTTTGAGCCAGCTATGAGACTAATCCCAAGTCGGAACTTAGTAATAATTAAAGCTCATTACCCCTCCTCAAAGATATATTTGGTGTTAATCGAATTATTATTATTTTTTATTTTTTATTTTTTGGTATGAACCTAGAGGTATCTCCTCCTCCAGTCACCTTGTTCTCGGAATACAGCCTCAAAGGCTACTTCCTCATTAAAAGAGAGGGTGCATTGAGCTTTGCCACCAGAGGAAGGATAAGACTAATCCCCCATTGAAGAGAGAGGCGATTCCTCTTGACCCCAAAGATTTTCTAAGAATTTACTTGGGTCAGGGTTTGAAACCCTGACCCAAGTAAACCCTTAAGAGCTTAGTTGTCATAGCTGAGCTACCCTTGGGAGTTTAATCGATTTATTTAAGTATACATAAAACCACTCCCCATTAAGTATGGGAAGATAAGGATGAGGAAAATCTTTGCACGTATTATTGTTGTATTTTACAAAGAGGCTGTTTTGTAGACTTAAACACATAACCTTTAAGTGACAAAGAAGCTGCTTTGTAAATTAAGAATGAGTGTTCAAATATCTGCATGAAGTTAGAGAGACCAAGTAGAGCAAAATAAATTAAACAATATACCTCTACAGTTGTCATGTGATAGACATTTAACTGGGGCACTCCAACATGACAACGATACCTCGAAATGGTCCTATGCATGCTGCACCAATCATCATAGTAAACATAAACATCATATATTGTAGAAACATGGAATCATAAAATTCTATTTAGCATCATAATATATGTGTAAAGGTTGAAAATAAAATATGATTACTCGTGGCTAGCAAATTGGTAACCCTTTCCAGATGAAGAGAAAACAACAAGGGCAACTTCAGCATCACACAAAATGGAGAGCTCGAAGGCCTTCTTGATTAGTCCATTTCTTCTCTTTGAGAAGGTAACTTGCCTACTTGTTGGGTTCTCAATTCTGTTCAGCTCCACTTTCCCTCTTCCCATTTCTACTTTCTTTGTGGCGTCTATAACATTTTTTATTGATCAACATTAATTTATATTGATCCATGAGAATTGGAAGCTGATTTTATAATGTTAGGGGACGAATCAGAATTCGACACCCTGAAGATACAGTGCATGGCATAATGTAGCCCAAAGGACGTCCTGACTTTGCTTGACGCGACTTCACTAGCAAATCTTTTTATGAATTCATGAATCTAAACTCATTAATCATTATTATTGGGACCTTTACAAATTCAAAGATCATGTGGAAAATCAATACCAGAGACATAAAATTTTAATTCTGGACTCGCCCTGCACTTGAGATTAGGCTCAAAGAATCAAAAAACTTGTGGGAATATCCAGAAAGCATACTCGTCTCAAAGGTGATAATTAAATAATAAAGAAAAAAATCATGTGGATATATCCTTCTTGACAAGTTTTCAGTAGAATATAGTGAAATAATGATGTAAAATTTTACCTTTACAAATTTTTCATGCCTATTTTACCTACTATTTTTCAATACTGTTACATCAGAATCTCAACTAACTTTTTCATTTCTCTCCTCTTAAAATTTTGATATAATAGTGTTGGAGAATAACAAGTAAAGTAAGTATAAAAAATATAGATAAAATAACTTATCTCTAAAAAATAATGATGTAAAAACATACTTAAATATTGGGATGCACACATTTTGGTTCGATTCAGTTCAAAAGTGACTCAATTAGGATAAATCAAATTGGTTTTAACAAGTGGTTTGGCCTTTGAGCCAATTTGAAGAAAATGGTTCATTTCTTAAGTTGGTTCCGAAAAATGTGGTGCGGTTCAATTTGGTTCGCAGTTTAGTTTGGTTCATTTAATTTTTTTTACACTCCTAAAATAGATATGGTTTAGTTCAGTTCAATTTTTTAGACCTAACCGAACTAAATTGGTAAAGTGATTTGGGTTTTTGAGTGGAACCAATTTTGAAAAAATAGTTCAGTTTTTGGACCGGTTCAAAGAAAGTTGTTCGGTTCTTGAATTAGTTGTTAAAAATATATAAACCATTTAAAAGGTTATCACCTAATAGCTTAAGTTTCTGGATTAAATTAGTTATTTGCCTAATATCAGAGCCTCGGTGTCATGAGTTCGATTCTCACTTTCTCTTGTTTAATTAATATTTATATTTTTTTAACTGTTTGTTAAAAATTTAATTTAATTTTTTAAATAAAATCTATATGATTATATATCTTTAAAATATATTTTTCATAATATATCGAAGTGTTCAATGATTTATAATAATTAAATTTTTTATAAATAAAAGTGTTTAACGATGTTAAGCAAATAGTTGGTTAAAGAAAAAAAAAGAGTGAAGTGTAATTTTAGATAAGTTTAAAATTTGCTGTAATTTTAACAAAATTCAAAGTAATAGAGTGTAATTAACTTTTCTTTATAAGATATTTATTTGTTCTTTTAAAAGTCCAATGTTCTCTGGAGAGCATTCTTAGGGTTTTTAAAAGTATTTTATGTTAAAAATTCCAATCAGTACTCGATTCTTTTTTTTTTTTTTTGGGGTAAATAGTACCCGATTCACTACAAATGAAAATAAATTTAAAACAAATAGTTATCAAAATTTTGACCAAATTAAAAAAAATAGTTAAAATGTACATTGGTTGATTCAGAACTGAAAAAAAAATAACAAAATAATAAATCATAATGATTCCTAGTGAAATTAGAACCAGTTCATATATTAAAAAAAAAACTTGGTATATGATTGTTTGGCTTTTGTGGTATTAAATTGTATTAAGATTTGACATATATCTTAATGATGAATTTATAACTCACAACAGCTATTGTCACAATTTAGGCTCTCTGTCCCATTTGAGATTTTTATTCCTTTAATTTTTTAATTTTGTACTTGATTCACTGTATTTATTAATGGAGATCATTTAGTGATGCAAAGAAAATTCAACATAACTGAGTGTCGCGACCCTCTCCTGCATCACTCACACATTTTTTCTCTATTGAGTGACGCCCCCTGGTCAATGTTATTAAAATCGGTTCGGTCATTGACCCGGTCGAGGTACCGGGTCACTGGTCACTGATTCAACCAGTGGGTCACCGGTTCAACCGCATAACCCGATGATTGTATGTAAATCTATAATTTATATTAAAAAATTATAAACATACTCAAATAGCTGAAAAAAAAATATTATAAATTCAATATTTTAATATAAATAATAATAAATTATACATTATTGTCCAAAAAAATCAAACAATCATATAATGCTTGTGATATTGATGTTTCAGGTTCAATAAACGACATCTCTAACTATGAATCAAATCAAAATTTCCTGCATAATGCATAACTGAGATAATATTACTATTGTACGTACATAACTTATGTAAGCCAATAAGTAACAGATCACTCAATGATTTTTTTCAAAAACTTCTTTTTTCTGGAAATGTTATTTTAAAAAAACTCAGGCCGGGTCACCTGAATTTACCAAAACCGACCGGGTCGCACCAGGTCTGGTACTTGACCGATTCAATGTAATAACTGAACCGGTCAGATGACCAGTTCACCAAGTTCCAGATCAGCCCGGCTGTTCCAGTCCGATTTTACAACATTGTCTCTGGCACTCACAGTATTGTGCTAAGTGGCACAATCTCGTTAATCCTGTTACCATAAAACTTCTAAAGACCATAACTTTTGATTCGGGTAAATATATATATATATATATATATATATATATATATATATATATATATATATATATCTGATTTGGATACCCGAGTCAAAAGCCATGGCCTTCCAAAATTTTATGGAAATGGGACTAACGAGATGTGTCACTTGGCACAATCCTGTGAGTGTCGGAGGGGGGCGTCACTCATTTGAAAAAAAAAATTGTGTGGGTGACGCAGGTGCGGCACTCAGTGACGTTGGATCCCTCTTGCATTACTAAACAATACCTATTGATAAATAACGATAATTAAATACTAAATTGGTACATTAAAATCTCAAAAAACCCAAATTGGTCAAAGAGCCTCACAATTTATTTGTAAAGTATCTTAAATACTTTCATAATTATATATTTGTTTATACAAATGGTTGGTGATGTGTGGTATGAGAGAGAGAGTAAATTTTTCTCTTTCTAAGTCAATTATTTGAACATGGATCGCCTATTAACGGACGACACGCAGAGATCATTGATTTGAAACCATTTTACAAAATCGAAATTTCTTGTACGGAAAAAGTGTTTGTCTTTTCAAATGATATAATTTATGTCATTTTACTTTGATAAAGAGGTCCATACCTTTATTTTTTTTCCACTCTCTCCCCATGATCTATCTTTTTCTCTCACTTAAAATGACATAATTTTACATCCTTTAAAATGATACAAATTTCCTATATATGAAAAAAGGGGAAGGATATTGTAACAATCAAGTTGTGTTACTACCATATTACTACCTGTAACATCCCGGGCGCTGACGAGGGCGGGGAGTGATCGCCGGTGCGAAAGGGCATGGATAAGGAGCGGCTCTTGACATGCTTCCAGCGACGGAGTACATGAATAAATCGAATCAACACCCGAAAGAGAGGGATTCCAGAGACTGTGCTGGTATATGACGGTATAGTTGGGAATAGCTTATAAGAATTAATTGGTACTACCTATACTAACAAGATGCATCTACTTTTCGGTAGCCTGGAACGGAAGAACTCCATAGTTAAGCGTGCTGACTTGGGGCAATTCTGGGATGGGTGACCTCCTGGGAAGTTTTCTCGGGAAGTGTGCGAGTGAGGACAAAGCACGCTGAAAAGTCTTGTGTTAGTGTGTGGGGACAGTCGTTGATCCTTACAAGTTGCGAGGCGTTACAAGTGGTATCAGAGCAGGGCCTCTCTTCCAGTACGGTGTGGTTCGAGGACGAACCAGGCGGAAGCTGGTGAGCATGTAACATCCCGGGCGCTGACGAGGGCGGGGAGTGATCGCCGGTGCGAAAGGGCATGGACAAGGAGCGGCTCTTGACATGCTTCCAGCGACGGAGTACATGAATAAATCGAGTCAACACCCGAAAGAGAGGGATTCCAGAGACTGTGCTGGTATATGACGGTATAGTTGGGAATAACTTATAAGAATTAATTGGTACTACCTATACTAACAAGATGCATCTACTTTTCGGTAGCCTGGAACGGAAGAACTCCATAGTTAAGCGTGCTGACTTGGGGCAATTCTGGGATGGGTGACCTCCTGGGAAGTTTTCTCGGGAAGTGTGCGAGTGAGGACAAAGCACGCTGAAAAGTCTTGTGTTAGTGTGTGGGGACAGTCGTTGATCCTTACAAGTTGCGAGGCGTTACACTACCAATCAATCTCACCGTTAGATCGATTATGTTGATCCAACGGTTATATTTGTTTCCATCTTTGTATGGTCATGATTTTCCAAATGTAATACTTTATATTTATTTCAATCTTTGCATAGTTATGATTCCCATATTTGGATCAATATAATCAATCTAACGGTGAGATTGATTGGTAGTAACACAGCTTAGTTATTACAATATCCTTCCCCATGAAAAAATATTTGTCCTTTTAAATGATATAACTTTGTGTCATTCTAGATCATAACCGTTGATTTCCGTCAATCAACGGTTATAATTTATTGGGTCAAACTTATTAATTAATTAGAGATTCGCAATAAATTATAATCGTTGATTGACGAAAATCAACGGTTAGGATCTAAAATGATACAAAGTTATATTTTTTAAAAGTACAAATATTTTTCATATATATATATATATATATATATATATATATATATATAGAGAGAGAGAGAGAGAGAGACAGAGAGAGAAAAAAAATGTGTGTCATTTTAAAGGATATAAAGTTGTGTCATTTTAAGTGAGAGAAAGAGATAGATAAAGGGGGAGAGAGAGTGGACAAAAAAAATAAAGATGTGGGTCCCACCTCTTTGTGAGAGTGAAATGACAAAAGATGTGTCATTTAAAAGGACAAATACTTTTTCTCTAT